ACCCAATTAATATTAAATATAGTGATGCGTAGATTTCAAATGCATATTTAGCAAGTCCACCAGTCAGATAAAGTAATAAAGTGATGATGCAGAGTATCGTTCCCATGAGGAAAGTGTATTAATTACCGAGTTATCTAGGATTAGTCCTAATTGAAGCGATAAAGGTTGCTTTGATGCAATATTGACAACTACTTACAAATTAACAAAATATAAACAATTAATAATGAAAATTAAAGCAAGACCCAATATTAACAGAAATTCACAAATGGTTTAAAACTCTAGGGTATTTGATTTCACTAGGATACTCCTACCCAATACATAGATTTTTCTACCCAAACACCTAATTCCTTGATTGAATACCAAATTCCCTAAATTGTTTAGCACTCCTTCTCAGGTTATGCTACCCCACTCATTCCTATCAACCTTCCATACGCATAAATTGAAGTTTAATAGTTCAAAGTCTCTTAAGCTTAGTGAAATTCTACCTAGGTCACATAAGTTGTGTTTATCTATCTTTAGTTTTTGCTCAACCTATGGTGTTTATCACAAGAAGCATAAGTCATGAATTACTTTTCAGTCTCATCATGAATCATCATATCGACTGAATGGTGGCCAATCATCCAAAAGATTCAATAAACATAGAAATAAACACTTAAGCAACGAAATTAGAACAAAAGAGTAGATCAAAGCATATGTATTAAGTAATTGTATCAAGGCTACATCAAAACCCTAGATAAACAATTAGTTCATCATATAATTGAACACAAAACTATACAAACTAAGACAAAATGAGTTCATCATGGATAAACAAGAGTAAAGGGTGAAGAAAATCTTTCTAAAGGATGAATCTTCTCTTATTCTTCTTCTCTTCACGTTCTCTTGCCTCCAAAATGACTAAACTCCCTCAAAATTTCCTTTTTTGTTCCTTATATAGTGTTTCCCTTTTTGGGTGAAAACCTTAACAGCCTAAAACGAAGCGTTTTGATTTTTCCCAAAAATGCAGTTTTGCCACGGTGAAATCTAAAAACCTGATATTCTAGAATGTTTTTCACAGCGGCGAAATCAAGCCTTTTTTTTTAAATGACAAAAGTGCCCTTTCTTGACTTCAACACTTAAATGTTCATCTCTTTGGTCTTCTTTCTAAACAAGTCTTTAAGAACACTTCCTTACAGCCTCAGAGCCATTGTTTTAAAAGTAAGGCCACTGGGTCCCAGGTTGACCAATCCGACAGGTTAAACCGACGATCCGACCAGTGATCCAAAAAGTTTAAAATCTTGCAAACACACCCCTAAAAAATATGAATCAGTTCCTATAGGTTGGAAATCTAGCAAATACACCCCTTTTGACTTTTTCTACCAAATTTTGGCTAATTTTGGTAGCCAAAATTCAATTTGACACCACCACCTGAATACCATTTTCCACTTTAAAAAACCCCCTTTAACCCTAGAACTTGGTAGCCCCCTGTTCGCCGGCCATGACTCATGTATACCGCCGTGATTGGGTTGATTTTTCTGGCCAAATTTTGGCTGATTCTGGTGTCCAAAATTCAATCAAAAACCACCACCTAAACCATTGGCCTCCACTCTACAAAACCCCTCTAACCCTGGCACCTGGTAGCTCCCCATTCTCCAACCGTGATTCGCATATTAGGTTGAATTTTCTACTCGAATTGTAACTTATTTCAACGTCCAAAATTCAATCTAACACCACCCCTTGAACCACTGACCTCCACTCTACAAAAGCCCTTTAACCTTGGCAATCAAATTAGGGATTTTGTGAATTGTAAAAAATGGTAACCCAGACTAAAGAGGCTGTCGAGTCTCGGTTGGACCGGTCGATCCGATCTAGGTTTTAAAACAGTGCTCAGAAATTCTCAAATCTTCTAATTTCAGATCCTTTTCTGAGTTAAAAAGCTTAACTTGCATTTTTTACTACTACATTTTTCTTCGCTTTGGCAATTTCCCACATCTATGTCTACCACATTGATAAATTTCCCATCAATCATGAGCTTCACCTTTCAATTTAAGACTTGCATATTTGACTTGTTTTTCTTCTCGAATTTACTAGACTAAAAAAAATATTTCATCTCATATGTATAGTCGGTAAGAAACTCAAGATAGGAACAATGATCAAAGAAATGAACATAACCACTAAAATACGTAAGAAAAGAATATAAATGTCAAATTTCCGCTCTCTTTAGTGCCTTACGAATTGTCTCCATCTTAATAGCAATTAACCACAACAAGAAGGACTAAATTGAAAGGAACTAAAACTATGAAGGATTCAAGAACCTCACAAAACTTAGGGTCTGCTTGGGAGTTTCATGGTAGCAATTATGAGGGTAAATCACCGTAACGATTATGAGGGTAAATCACCGTAACGATTATGAGGGTAAACCACCATAGTGGTTTTTAAAACACTCAACCTGTGCTTGGGAGTTTATTTTCTAATGGTTCTGACAGTTTTTTAAAATGATAAATTTACATATATGCCTATAAAAATACCCAACTTCAACTAGTACTTGAGAGTTTTGTTTTTTCAATTATAAGGTAAGAGTTCTTTATTTGTTTTCTACTAATTATTATTTTATAACTTCAAATGTGATAAAGTTTCCTTATCTTTCTTCGCCATTCTTTGCAGCATCTAGAATGATTGAAAAATTGTAGCTCCACTTCTCCAAGAAAGCATCTAGAAATGAATTTTTAATAATTTTTTTTTATGATTGCTTAAAATTATTTTATATTTAATATGGTTGGAGACGCACATAATATGGTTATTATTATTTTTTTTTTAATATAATTGGGATAGTTTTATAGTGGATAAGGTATTTGTGGAATAAAATTTTAAAACCAATCAAAACACTCAAATTTGGGGTGTTTTATAAACTCCTCAAAAATATACTACACTGGTTCTAAGGGGTTTTTGAGCCAGTTAAAACCAGTGTATAAAAAATCTGGCAAGTAATGGTTTTAAAATACCTAAAAACCAGTGAAAAAAACTCACAAACAGACCCTTAAGAACTATACTGAGAAAGAGCTGACCAAATTAGACTTTAAATAATTTTAGCAAAAGGTAATTTTCCAATGTAGCTTGCACAGTTTCTTTGCATTAGGTTGATAAGCCTTTTGCGTGGATAGGTATATATTAGATACATTCTAGCGTAGCGACTTGAATCCACAAACAATAACTCTTGAATCCACGAGGAAGATGTCGAATCACAACAAAATAGCTCCAAAATGATCTATTTGAGAAATTTTATGAATAATCAACTGTTACTTGTTGTAGGATAACAAGACTATTTATAGAGAACTAATTCTAATAATACTAGAACAATGAATAATAATGAAATAAAAAAATCATAATACTACTAGTATAAGAAATTATAAAATAGAAAAACTTAACTTAACAAAAATAAATATTCCTAATTTACCTAAATTCTTAGAATAACTAAACTTCTAAATATAAAATCTTAATTAAAATTACAAAATCAAATAAGAAACATGAAATAATCTAAAATTCTAAAATTAGGAAAATGTGTCTTACATCATGATTGTATACATTGGACCAATGATTTGCGACTGGTTCTAAATAGACCTAATTTTTCATTTTTCAGAATAATGATTACTTACCATTTCAAATAATAATTAGTTTACAATATAAAACGTTACAAAGCCTAGAAGAAAAATAATGCGCATGCCACATATCGCCATTTTTGGCAGGTGATGTAGCATGCAAATGTGGCTTAAGGTGAGTTTTATAATCTTTCAAAATAATGAAAAGTGTTTGACAACGTAATATTATTTTAAGCTATATGAAACTAAAATGGCATCAATTGTGCACAATTTATACGGCTCCGTTTGACTTATTATTTCTACCCATATTCTCAATCATATTCCCAAATATTGTTTGACCCATTATTTGAGAAATATTAGTCTATTTTTTAATTTTTTAGACCCCTTAAGTTTATTAATTTCATTAAATACCCCCAGAAAAAAGTTTAAAAATTAATAAAAACACCCCCACCCACCAATACTTGCTAGATTCCGACAACCACCGCCAGTGGTAGCCAGAATCTATCACAACGGTCTACACCACCACCGGAAATGGCCGTAATTCACTGATTTGGCCGTCGCAAAGAAATGGTCGTCGTTGACGGTCAATGACAGCCAAAGATGGACTTCTTTGCCTTTTTCGGTCGTCGACGGCCACATCTGGCCGTAGATCTGGCTTTTTCCGGCTAGATACGTGGTGGATCTAGCCGAAAAAGGCCATAGCGACACCATACTGGCCAGATCCGACTTGTATGTGTCGTTATCCAATTTTTCGGTCAGATTCCGGCGGTGGTGGCCAGAATCTGGCATTACGGGTGGTGGGGGTGTTTTTGTTATTTTACAATATTTTTATATATTGGGGTGTTTATTAAATTAGCAAACCTATTTTTTATAAATTTTTAAATTTTACCTCGTAGTACTCCTATATCCAACTACCCAACATTGTTCCTAAAAAACCTATTTAAAATAATAAAATAAACGGACCGTGTACAATATTCCCACTGTTCTTTTCAACGGTTTCTAAAAGAAGTTTTGGAGAGGATTTTTTTTTTTTTTTTTTTATCTTTTCTCATCTCGAAGGGCTTGTAAGAAAATAACTATTTCCCATCGCTGCTTCTTTATAATTTCTTTATATCAAAGGGACCAAAGAAAAAGAAATTAATCACACTCTGACTCCGTCAGTCTGCCCGAGACACGATTCAGACATCCTTAACCACAACAACTTAAAATCAAAACTCTAACCAATAGAAATCTTGTATTTAGTCTTGCTGATCCGTGTATGCACTCTAAACTCACATCACAACCGTCCAATCACGTTCAGAAAACACAACTTACGCCTTTCGACGCCGTCGGATATCGTACAGAGAAAGCACACGGATCCCTTATCCTGACCGTCCAATCTTCTTTTCTCAACCACCTTCTCCTTCATATATAGCCTTAACAGTTCTCCCATTCAATCTTTAGAGATCCAGAGCAAAAGCTAGAGAGAGAAAGGATTTGAAGATTTGAAGATTCGAGGTACGTGGTCTTCGTCTTTGAAGATTAGATAATTAGATTTTGCTTGCGTCAAAGCTAATTAGGGTTTTTATATGTCGATGTTCTTGTGTTGGCGTTCATGTGGGTTTTGCGTTGAGGTTTTTGAATTTCCGAATTAGGGTTTCGAAATGTCGTGTTTCTCATGAAATTAGGGTTTTTTTCGCTTGAATTTGAATGCAATTTCTTGTTTGTAGAGAGCTTTTTGTGGTTCAATTTCCAGACAGAATTTGAAAAATAGGTCGAAATTTGAATGTAGTTTTGGGAATTTTACATGGAACGATTTGAATTCTTGCATTATTCTTTGATATAGCAAACTTAATGTCTCGAATTTCTTGTTTAGTTAAGTTTGTGGCTTTTCATCTTTAAAAAGCGAACGTTTACCTGAAGTTCTGAAAATTTGGGAATGTAAGCAGATGGCCCGTACTAAGCAAACTGCTCGTAAATCAACTGGAGGAAAGGCTCCAAGGAAGCAACTCGCTACCAAGGTTAGTGATGAGTCGTTTAGTCATGTTTGGTTGGTTTCAAAGTTCTCAATATTTTTGCTATAATTGCTTTTTATTGCATATTAGGCTGCCCGTAAGTCTGCTCCAACCACTGGCGGAGTCAAGAAACCTCACCGTTACCGCCCTGGAACTGTTGCTCTTCGGTATGTTAGCTGAATCAATTTTTTAATATCACTGGAATTTGACAGCTTTTAAGGGTTGTGGTCTAATTTCTGTGTTAACTTGTACAGTGAAATTCGTAAGTATCAGAAGAGTACTGAGTTGCTGATCAGGAAACTCCCTTTCCAGAGGCTAGTCCGTGAAATTGCCCAGGATTTCAAGGTTTGTTTACATTTAATCTTCATTTACTGGTTTAAATTTTTCAGATTTTGTAATTGTATTCATAGTATTTATATCGGGTTTTTTGCTGGCAGACTGATCTGCGTTTCCAGAGCCACGCAGTCCTTGCCCTGCAGGAGGCAGCTGAGGCTTACCTTGTTGGTCTGTTTGAGGACACTAACCTTTGCGCCATCCATGCCAAACGTGTTACCATTATGCCTAAGGATATCCAGCTGGCTAGGAGGATCCGTGGTGAGCGTGCTTAAGCATTGCGGGAGCCATGGGGATGGTTGTGTGCTATTTTGTTGTTAACTTCTCTAAGAAGAAGTTGGCTTAGGTGGCTAGGGTAGATAGATAGGCTTTCTGTTTGTAGTAGTTGTTATTAGGTTTATGGATATGTGAACCTTTTGGGTGGTTGGTGGCGTTTCTCTGTCTATTCGTTATATGGGGGATTTGGATTTGTTCTATTACCGTTCGTTTAAGTTGTTTTGGATAGTACCTGTTGCAACAGTAGTGGTGTTGAACATCTATTATTTGCATCATCTAATCTAAGTTTAGTTTGTTATTGTTGTCTTATTTTGGAATTGTTTCAATCGTTCTGTTCCATACAGTGGTTCATTGAATAAGAAAAATGCCATTGATTGAGATCTTTTACTTATCAGAAATTTATGTATGTTTTTTGACCTAATGATAAAAGTTTATGGTAAAATGCTGAAGGTCAGCCTTGATACATAAGTGAGGTATATCAGGCTTATCGATTGTAATTTTGCCCCCGATTACTTGCCTGGGGGTTTTGATATTGATTCTCATTTAGCCTAATTCACTATTTGCTTGAGGTTTCTGTTCGATGGTCTAGCGCGTCTGTCTTTGATTTTTCACAATCTTGAACCGTAGACTATAGATGGTTGAGCAGTAATAGACAAATCTTATTTTCTGAGATGAATTTGAATAAAGACTTTTTAAAGTGAGAGGGCAGCACGCAGTCGAACCGAGTAGCTCGTGACAAACTCAGGCTTGACTCGTCAAAAATCGAATAGTTCACGAGTTTGAGCTCATCTTCAAGCTTGTGAAAAATGTCAAGCTTATGAAAACTGTCAAGCTTTTTGGGTTTAAATCGAATAGTTTACGAGTTCGAGCTCATCTTCAAGCTTGTGAAAAATGTCGAGCCTTTTGGGTACAAATTGAATAGTTCACGAGTTCGAACTCATCTTCAAGCTTGTAAAAAATGTCAAGCCTTCAACCGTATTTCATCTCTACCAAATCACACCACAAGATCTGAGATGTCACCGTTGTCCGGCCTTCATCCACCACCACCACCACCACTATCATCTTCACTTCTTCACACCGCAACATCAGTCACCGTCGATTGCAGCACTTTCAAGGTATTTTGAAGACATTAAATTATAATAACTGAATAAACTGATTGATTTCATATATATTATTGATATTCCACCTTCATAGAATCTAAAACTCACACCTTAATCTTAATATTATCTACTATTCAAGCAACAAAACATAATGACCTGCTTCCTCTTCATCTCACCGTTTTGGATCAAATTTTCTGTTCATTGTTCCGATCTGCTTCGGACTCAAGCCAAAAGCATTCTCCAGTAGCTCTGCTTCGATCCCAGACCCAAAAATGGCAGATGGGATTTTCTGACTTCCCGGATTTTGGCCATTAAAACTTCCAAATACTGTTGCAGGTTGTCGCCAACGTTCATCCGGAAGTGCACTAGACGTCGAGGGAACACCATGACCTCTCCTTGCTCAATCACTCTCGCAAAAACTCGATTACTGGAATCAGCAAAGCCTGAATAAACAGTTCTTGCTGGTGAGCTTTTCCGGTGGGTTTCTTTTATTTTGGTTTTGATTTTTGGGAAGAACAAAAAGTAAAACAAAGAATCGAAGACATTAAAAACAATAAATAACCGAGCCGAGCCGAGCTCGAACCATCAATTTGCTTAAACGAGCCTCCTATCCTACCAATTAAGGGTGTTCAAAAGAACCGGTTGGAACCGGAACCGATAGGTACCCTGGATTTGGTTCCGGTTCTTACCCAGAACCAATCGTCAATGGGTAGGTTTCGGTTCCAAATTTTTAGAACCGTTACTGTATGGTTCTGGTTCCTATAGTTAAGAATCGGAACCGGAACCAGGACTAATATAAAATAAAATTAAAGATTAGGGGGGTTAATAAAAACTTTCGTAGAAAAAGTAATGTGAATACATTTATATTTATATTTCATAACATTTAAAGTAAGTTGGTTTGACTTTTGAGAGTCTACCTTTACAAAGTAATGGAGTTTGTAATTTTGAATTTATAATTTATAATTTTATTTTTGTTAACAAGTACCAGGTGGGGGGGATTTGTAAGTTTTTAAGGGTTTTTTTATAATTTTAAAAACTTTGGGGGGGGTCAGTATGGAGCGAACTACTCATTGCTGTGTAGCCCCAACCCAAGGAAGGACATTTGGTGAGGAGCATTGTTTTGAGGGAGGGAAAGCGTGGTTGACAAGCCACTTCGAGGAGGCGACTGGACTGGAGTGCTTTTATCAAATGTGTCGGGTTGGAAGACCCTAGCTTCATGGCGGCTGCATAACATCTCTTAGCAGTAGCCTGGTCTCCACGGATCTCCATGAGGCCGTCAGGTGTAGGGAACCTGGACGTCTATCTATCTCACCACGCTCCCCTACTCCTATAAAGGCCGGCGGAAGGAATGCTCTGCTCATCTTTCTTACGGCTCGTTACCGCAGCGCTCGTTCACCCCTTCGGCTTCTTCAATTCAAAACAAAAAGGTAGTGTCTTTTTCCTATTCTTATTGGTAAATAGCGTCTTGAGGCAAAGGCATTCTTTTTCGAAAGAGATGCCGGGTCGGTCAATTGCATTAGGTAGGAGATGCAGGACCTGTCTTAACCGCAGGTGCATTCGCTATTCGATTCCATCCTCGATCCCACCAAATTCCAAAGTTTGTATCTCTTCTTTACTTTTAAGTGACAAGGGGGGTGACAAACGGTATACTTTCTTCTCTATGTCGCCGTCTCATCAATGAGCGTAGATTGATAGAGATGGCTTTTGTGCCGGTCAATCTGTATCCCATTCTTCAGGTATAGTTTTGTTTGATCACAGATCGGCAGGTGACCCGTCCTTTCTCCCCCTTTCGTCATAAGGCGTGGCCTGACTCTGAGAAAAACAATTCCTGTGTTTAGGTCCCTACTAAGCAGAATTCGTAAACTATGCAAAGGCTATTTGAATACTTTTTTATTTAACAAAAAAAGCAAAAAAACAATTCTCAACGCCCTTACGAGGTAGTGATAAGTTAAACTACTCGTGTTGGCATGAAAGTAAGCCCGGTAAACGGATTCCATTCTGCTACTAGGGTTCCAAACCTTTCCCTTAGCTCTAGAAAGACGTTTCCTTATCAAGAGATGCTAAAGCTATTTATAGTTGGTATTTCTAAGTCGGAAGGAGGGCTTTAGGCAAAGAGCAAAAAAAAAANAGTTCCATTCTATGCGTTGTTTCCTCCAAACATGTATCAAACGCATTTTATTACCATCTACACTTCAAATCGGCTCCACCCATCACTTCCCCACCATATTTATGAAGCCTTTTTCATCCCAAGAGTTATATGCAAGCAATGTCAAAATCGGCGAGCTTGCACGTGCTGGTAATATACAAGCCGCCCGCCAACTGTTCGATAAAATGACAACAAAAGATGTTGTCACATGGAATGCTATTATCACTGGTCACTGGCAAAATGGATTTCTGGAAGAATCAAAGATTTTGTTTCAAATAATGCCAGTGAAAAATATAGTCTCCTGGAATAGCATGATAGCTGGCTGCATTGAGAATGAGAAGATTGACCAGGCCCTTGACTACTTTCGAGCCACGCCCAAGAGAAATACCGCCTCATATAATGCAATGGTATCAGGTTTTGTAAAATATGGTCGCATAGAGGAAGCTAGCCGGCTCTTTGAAGAAATACCACGGAAGAATGTTATTTCTTACACTGCAATTATTGATGGGTATATGAAGATAGGGGAGGTTGACAAGGCAAGGGCATTGTTTGATTACATGCGATGTAAAAATGTTGTTTCTTGGACGGTGATGATTAGTGGATATGTGGAGAATGGCAGGTTTGACGAAGCGAGAGTATTGTTTGGGGAGATGCCAGAGAGCAGTAAAAATGTTGTAGCGTTCACGGCTATGATCATGGGGTACTGTAAGGAGGGGATGGTGGAAAATGCCAGATATTTGTTTGAACGAATTCAGAAAAAAGACCTTGTGTCTTATAATGCAATGATCAGCGGTATGCTAAGTTATACTCATGCATGGTTAACACCTTTTGTTCACGTAACTGCAAAGCTCTTGAAACTGAGTTTATGTTTTGTGATCTTCAATATTTCTCTGGGGTATTGATATTTGATACTCGTAGCTGTTGTTGCCTTTCACATATGCAGGTTATGCACAAAATGGTGCTGGTGAGAAAGCATTGAGTTTGTATTCAAAGATGCTTGGGATGGGCATGCAACCAGATCAGGCAACCCTTGTTTCAGTTTTCACTGCCTGTTCTGCTCTTGCATCTCTTACAGCAGGGAGACAAACTCATGCATTTGTTATAAGAAATGGGTTTGGTACAAATGTGTCTGTATGTAATGCTTTGATTACGATGTACAGCAAATGTGGTAGCATTCTTGAGTCTGAGTTAGCTTTTAGAGATATACACACTCCAGATACTGTTTCGTGGAATACAATTATTGCAGCATTTGCTCAGCATGGACTCTATGAGAAAGCTCTTAAATTTTTCAGCCAGATGACTTTGAATGGCTTTGAACCAGATTGGATTACTTTTCTTAGTTTGTTGTCTGCTTGCGGACATGCAGGGAAGGTAAAAGAGAGCACATATTTGTTTGACTTGATGGTAAAAGATTATGGAATTGTCCCTAGGTCTGAACACTATGCTTGCTTGGTTGATATATTGAGTCGAGCTGGGGAGTTGGAGAAGGCCTGTCAAATTATTCAAGTTATGCCATTTGAAGCTGACACTGCGGTCTGGGGTGCTATTCTTGCTGCTTGTAATATATATCTGAATGTGGAATTAGCAGAATTAGCAGCCAAAAAAATTAGGGATTTGGATCCTCATAGCTCGGGGCCTTATGTTATGCTGTCCAACATATATGCCGCGTCTGGAATGTGGAGAGAAGTTACTAGAGTGAGGATTCTAATGAAAGAGCAACAAGTTAAGAAGCAACGAGCTTATAGCTGGATGGAAATCGATAATAAAATGCATTATTTCTTAGGAGGGGATATATCACATCTAGATACTGATGAGATTTATTTGGAACTTAAGAGGGTCAGTCTACATATGAAGTGTATGGATGATATTGCAGAAATTGTTTCATCATGGAGAATTTTTGATTGACATACGAACTGTTTGATGTGAGTTGTGGTATGCTGATGGAATAACATCTTTGGTAGAAAAGCCTAGAATCAATTCAGTGAATTCCAAAGTGAATGCATATAGTGAAAGGAAACCTGTGTAGCAATTGGTAAGAGGAACGGAGAGGGTGATTGGTTTTATGACTAGATAGATGGATGCTTTCTAGCTAGTGAGAGGACGAGGTATCACCCATTTATGAAGGTGTATCTTTGCCTTAGGTTCTATTGGTTGTGCAATGCTTTAAGTAGACAGATTATTGAAATACAGAGCCAGCAATAACGTACAGGATTGAATACTTCTGGAGCTGGATAGTTCAACACTGGAACATGGGATTTCAGAGTTTGAGTGTTTTTTAAGGTTATACAGAAGCATAACAGAGATTTGACAGACTGCATGTCAATTCATGTGAACGAAAATGGAGATGGAAGATGAAAAAATGATTAATTTTATTTTGATAATCATAGCTAGTTAATGATAGTCTAATTTGTGAACCATATCCTTATGGCACGTTACGTTTTGTGGCTTCTTCTTGTACTCAGGTTATCTTTTAAGGCCTTTAGGATCCAATATCAGGTGTTTAAATATACTTATATTTCAATATTACTGATACTTGTACACTTTTATGTAATTTTTTGTATTACTCTAGAACTCGGCTAGTAATACAACTTAGTTCTCATTTAATTTGTTGTGTTATGATAAAGAAGGATTTTCTTAATGTCTCTATACATATTAAGAATGTTAATAATGATAAGACATAAATGTTATATCCTTATTTGAAGAAATACGTTAATTTAAAAAACTATTTAAACAAATATTATTTGTTTAGGAATGAGAGTTTTTGTATAGGTAGCAATCTTTTAAAACCCGGTCCGGCTTGGCCGGTTGAATGAATTCAATCGAGATCGGGGGCCTTCACCATGTCGGGTTAACAATTTTTCTATTCACCAAAAATCCTAGAAATTAGGACAGTGATCGGAAAACAGTTGAAGGTCGGGATGTTGGAGCTTTTGAAGAGGAAGGGCCAGTGAGTGCAATTGTGGCAATGGAGGTGATTTCCGATGAGTGAGTCGATCGGAAATTGCAAAACTAAATTGGGTTGTTGCTGTCGATTGGCGAGACAATCGGGGGAGGGGTGATATGAGTTTTGGTTAGGAGTTTGAGGGAGTGTTTTCGTGGTGATGAGGAGTGTTTTTGTCGTCGAAAATGAACCCTATTTGCCCTGGTTTGTCAACATTGGCGATGGTGTTTGGGGTGTTTTTGTAAGATTTTAAACTTATAGGGACTTATTTAATTTTTAGAGGGGTTTTTGTTATATTTCAAACTTTGAGACACGGGTCAATCTAGGACGCAACCACTTTGCTCGGTTACCTCGAGTTGGTTATTAAAACAAGAATAGGTTGTTGATGTTGTCACATTAGGCAACATCGGATATCAAAAAATTTCTTGTCAAAAGAAATTTCAACTGCTTAAAATTTTTGACCTTGGAAATTTCTTCCCATGACAATCCCAGCACACCATGGTCAAAAGAAAGAAAAAACACAAAGTTTCTAAATTCTATATGAACTGAAATCGGAAGAAAAATAAAAACCTAAGATGGCAATCTTTTGGTAGTTAAAACAGTCACCAAAGATGACCATGCCAGCCGTCTACAAGTTGCCACTATTGCAAACAAACATTTCAAGTTTTGATATTGTTTCCATTCCATCACCCGCCAACCGAAAGTACTAGAATCCAAATAAACATTACCACCTGCTCTGTTATAACATTCTTGAATTTGCTGTTTGAGAAAATATTTAATATTTAAACCGTTGATATCAAAGGTTGTCATTTTTGTTTCTATTTTTAGATTTAAAACCGCGAACCTCGGATTTTCCATCAAAATTAATCCCTCTCTATTATTGTTCTCTTATATTTTCTATCAACAAATTGCTCCGACGTTTTTGCTAAATCGTTGACTGTTTTCCCAAATATAGAAGCAATGGAAACAGAAGCTTTATTATTAACAAAAATGAAAAAAACAATTACTTTAACCTTAAAACCCAAGTACTGTGTTGAAGCTATTTCAATATAAAAGTAGTACTTGGGTTGACTAGCATGATAGCTGGCTGCATTGAGAATGAGAAGATTGACCAGGCCCTTGACTACTTTCGGCCAGCCAAGAGAAATACGCCTCATATAATGCAATGTATCAGGTTTTGTAAAATATGGTCGCTAGAGGAAGCTAGGGCTCTTTGAAGAAATACCACGGAAGAATGTTATTTTTACACTGCATGATTGATGGGTATATGAGATAGGGAGGTTGACAAGGCAAGGGCATTGTTTGATTACATGCGATGTAAAAATGTTGTTCTTGGACGGTGATGATTAGTGGATATGTGGAGAATGGCAGGTTTGACGAAGCGAGAGTATTGTTTGGGAGATGCCAGAGAGCGTAAAAATGTTGTAGCGTCACGGCTATGATCATGGGGTACTGTAAGGAGGGGATGGTGGAAAATGCCAGATATTTGTTGAACGAATCAGACAAAAGACTTGTGTCTTATAATGCAATGATCGCGGTATGCTAAGTTTACTCATGCATGGTTAACACCTTTTGTTTACGTAACGCAAAGCTCTTGAAACTAGGTTTATGTTTTGTGATCTGATCTCAATATTTCTCTGGGGTATTGATATTTGATACTCGTAGCTGTTGTTGCCTTTCACATATGCAGGTTATGACACAAATGGTGCTGGTGAGAAAGCATTGGTTTGTATTCAAAGATGCTTGGGATGGGCATGCAACCAGATCAGGCAACCCTTGTTTCAGTTTTCACTGCCTGTTCTGCTCTTGCATCTTACGAGGGAGACAAACTCATGCATTTGTATAAGAAATGGGTTTGGTACAAATGTGTCTGTATGTAATGCTTTGATTACGGTACAGCAAATGTGGTAGCATTCTTGAGTCTGAGTTAGCTTTTAGAGAATACACACTCCAGATACTGTTTCGTGGAATACAATTATTGCAGATTTTGCTCAGCCGGACTCTATGAGAAAGCTCTTAAATTTTCAGCCAGATGACTTTGAATGGCTTGAACCAGATTGGATTATTTCTGTTTGTTGTCTGCTTGCGGACATGCAGGGAAGTAAAAGAGAGCCATATTTGTTTGACTTGATGGTAAAAGATTATGGAATTGTCCCTAGGTCTGACACTAGCTTGCTTGGTTGATATATTGAGTCGAGCTGGGAGTTGGAGAAGGCCTGTCAATTATTCAAGTACCATCCATTATTAAATCTTTGTAAATCTAAATATAAAATGTAAAAAGGAGATACACATACTTAGACGAAATGTCAGGAGGAGGAGGAGGAGGATCTTTGCCGAAGAAGATGTTAATGGTGGAGGAAGAAGAAAGTGTTAATGGCGGAGGAAGAAGAAGATGTACAAGAAGGAGGAAGAAGAAGATGTAGACGAAGAAGAAGATGTAGACGAAGCGAAGAAGATGTAGACGAAGCTAAGAAGAAACAGCAACCAAGGTGGAGATGCGTTAATGGCAGGAGGAAGAAGAAGGTGTTTGGGTTTGTTTACAAGAATTTCAGGTTTTTTGGGAATATAGTATAATTTTTAAAAGATTATATAATACTTCTTTAATCATAATTAAGTACTAATCAAGTTTAAATACCCTTAATCAATAATATGACTATTTAGTTAAAACTTTAAAACTTGATAGCTTTTTAATTAAATTCAAACTTAGAGAGGTTGTTTTAATAAACTGCAACCTTATTGATTGTAATTTTGCCCACGATTACTTGCCTCGGGGGTTTTGATATTGATTCTCATTTAGCCCAATTCACTATTTGCTTGGGATTTCTGTTCGATAGTCTAGCGCGGCTGTCTTTGGTTTTTCACAATCTGGAACCGTAGACTATAGATGGTTGAGCAGTAATAGACAAATCTTATTTTCTGAGATGAATTTGTATAAAGACTTTTTAAAGTGAGAGGGCAGGTCTATGATCAAGTATTATGTTCTTTCATGACATTTAAGTAACAGGGCCGGTACATTATCCAGCAAGCAAATGTTGCTGGAAAAATATTAGGTGTATTCGAACTGTCAAGTGCATGTCTCTTGTTATAAAGTTGAGTTCCATTCTATGCGTTGTTTCCTCCAAACATGTATCAAACGCATTTTATTACCATCTACACTTCAAATCGGCTCCACCCATCACTTCCCCACCATATTTATGAAGCCTTTTTCATCCCAAGAGTTATATGCAAGCAATGTCAAAATCGGCGAGCTTTCACGTGCTGGTAATGTACAAGCCGCCCGCCAGCTGTTCGATAAAATGACAACAAAAGATGTTGTCACATGGAATGCTATTGTCACTGGTCACTGGCAAAATGGATTTCTGGAAGAATCAAAGATTTTGTTTCAAATAATGCCAGTGAAAAATATAGTCTCCTGGACTAGCATGATAGCTGGCTGCATTGAGAATGAGAAGATTGACCAGGCCCTTGACTACTTTCGAGCCAGCCAAGAGAAATACGCCTCATATAATGCAATGATATCAGGTTTTGTAAAATATGGTCGCTAGAGGAAGCTAGGGCTCTTTGAAGAAATACCACGGAAGAATGTTATTTTTACACTGCAATGATTGATGGGTATATGAGATAGGGGAGGTTGACAAGGCAAGGGCATTGTTTGATTACATGCGATGTAAAAATGTTTTCTTGGACGGTGATGATTAGTGGATATGTGGAGAATGGCAGGTTTGACGAAGCGAGAGTATTGTTTGGGGAGATGCCAGAGAGCGTAAAAATGTTGTAGCGTTCACGGCTATGATCATGGGGTACTGTAAGGAGGGGATGGTGGAAAATGCCAGATTTTTTGAACGAATCAGACAAAAGACTTGTGTCTTATAATGCAATGATCGCGGTATGCTAAGTTTACTCATGCATGGTTAACACCTTTTGTTTACGTAACGCAAAGCTCTTGAAACTAAGTTATGTTTTGTGATCTGATTCAATATTTCTCTGGGGTATTGATATTGATACTCGTAGCTGTTGTTGCCTTTCACATATGCAGGTTATGCACACAAATGGTGCTGGTGAGAAAGCATTGGTTTGTATTCAAAGATGCTTGGGATGGGCATGCAACCAGATCAGGCAACCCTTGTTTCAGTTTTCACTGCCTGTTCTGCTCTTGCATCTTACGAGGGAGACAAACTCATGCATTTGTATAAGAAATGGGTTTGGTACAAATGTGTCTGTATGTAATGCTTTGATTACGTGTACAGCAAATGTGGTAGCATTCTTGAGTCTGAGTTAGCTTTTAGAGAATACACACTCCAGATACTGTTTGTGGAATACAATTATTGCAGGATTTTCTCAGCTGGACTCTATGAGAAAGCTCTTAAATTTTCAGCCAGATGACTTTGAATGGCTTGAACCAGATTGGATTACTTTCTGTTTGTTGCTGCTTGCGGACATGCAGGGAAGGTAAAAGAGAGCACCATATTTGTTTGACTTGATGGTAAAAGATTATGGAATTGTCCCTAGGTCTGACACTAGCTTGCTTGGTTGATATATTGAGTCGAGCTGGGGAGTTGGAGAAGGCTGTCCAATTATTCAAGTTATGCCATTTGAAGCGACACTGCGGTCTGGGGTGCTATTCTTGCTGCTTGTAATTATATCTGAATGTGGAATTAGCAGAATTAGCAGCCAAAAAATTAGGGATTTGGATCTCATAGCTCTGGGCCTTATGTTATGCTGCAACATATATGCCGCGTCTGGAATGTGGAGAGAAGTTACTAGAGTGAGGATTCTAATGAAAGAGCAACAAGTTAAGAAGCAACGAGCTTAAGCTGGATGGAAATCGATTATAAAATGCATTATTTCTTAGGAGGGGATATATCCATCTAGATACTGATGAGATTTATTTGGAACTTAAGAGGGTCAGTCTACATATGAAGTGTATGGATGATATTGCAGAAATTGTTTCATCATGGAGAATTTTTGATTGACATACGAACTGTTTGATGTGAGTTGTGGTTGCTGATGGAATAACATCTTTGGTAGAAAAGCCTAGAATCAATTCAGTGAATTCCAAAGTGAATGCATATGTGAAAGGAAACTGGTAGCAATTGGTTAGAGGAAACGAGAGGGTGATTGGTTTTATGACTAGATAGATGGTGCTTTCTAGCTAGTGGAGAGGACGAGGTATCACCCATTATGAAGGTGTATCTTTGCTTAGGTTCTATTGGTTGTGCAATGCTTTAAGTAGACAGATTATTGAAATACAGAGCCAGCAATAACGTACAGGATTGAATACTTCTGGAGCTGGATAGTACAACACTGGAACATGGGATTTCAGAGTTTGAGTGGTTTTTAAGGTTATACAGAAGCATAACAGAGATTTGACAGACTGCATGTCAATTCATGTGAACGAAAATGGAGATGGAAGATGAAAAATTGATTAATTTTTTTGATAATCATAGCTAGTTAATGATAGTCTAATGTGAACCCTAGCCTATGGCACGTTACGTTTTGTGGCTTCTTCTTGTACTCAGGTTATCTTTTAAGGCCTTTAGGATCCAATATCAGGTGTTTAAATATACTTATATTTCAATATTTCTGATACTTGTATAGTTTTATGTAATTTTTTGTATTACTCTAGAACTCGGCTAGTAATACAACTTAGTTCTCATTTAATTTGTTGTGTTATGATAAAGAAGGATTTTCTTAATGTCTCTATACATATTAAGAATGTTAATAATGATAAGACATAAATGTTATATCCTTATTTGAAGAAATACGTTAATTTAAAAAACTATTTAAACAAATATTATTTGTTTAGGAATGAGAGTTTTTGTATAGGTAGCAATCTTTTAAAACCCGGTCCGGCTTGGCCGGTTGAATGAATTCAATCGAGATCGGGGGCCTTCACCATGTCGGGTTAACAATTTTTCTATTCACCAAAAATCCTAGAAATTAGGACAGTGATCGGAAAACAGTTGAAGGTCGGGATGTTGGAGCTTTTGAAGAGGAAGGGCCAGTGAGTGCAATTGTGGCAATGGAGGTGATTTCCGATGAGTGAGTCGATCGGAAATTGCAAAACTAAATTGGGTTGTTGCTGTCGATTGGCGAGACAATCGGGGGAGGGGTGATATGAGTTTTGGTTAGGAGTTTGAGGGAGTGTTTTCGTGGTGATGAGGAGTGTTTTTGTCGTCGAAAATGAACCCTATTTGCCCTGGTTTGTCAACATTGGCGATGGTGTTTGGGGTGTTTTTGTAAGATTTTAAACTTATAGGGACTTATTTAATTTTTAGAGGGGTTTTTGTTATATTTCAAACTTTGAGACACGGGTCAATCTAGGACGCAACCACTTTGCTCGGTTACCTCGAGTTGGTTATTAAAACAAGAATAGGTTGTTGATGTTGTCACATTAGGCAACATCGGATATCAAAAAATTTCTTGTCAAAAGAAATTTCAACTGCTTAAAATTTTTGACCTTGGAAATTTCTTCCCATGACAATCCCAGCACACCATGGTCAAAAGAAAGAAAAAACACAAAGTTTCTAAATTCTATATGAACTGAAATCGGAAGAAAAATAAAAACCTAAGATGGCAATCTTTTGGTAGTTAAAACAGTCACCAAAGATGACCATGCCAGCCGTCTACAAGTTGCCACTATTGCAAACAAACATTTCAAGTTTTGATATTGTTTCCATTCCATCACCCGCCAACCGAAAGTACTAGAATCCAAATAAACATTACCACCTGCTCTGTTATAACATTCTTGAATTTGCTGTTTGAGAAAATATTTAATATTTAAACCGTTGATATCAAAGGTTGTCATTTTTGTTTCTATTTTTAGATTTAAAACCGCGAACCTCGGATTTTCCATCAAAATTAATCCCTCTCTATTATTGTTCTCTTATATTTTCTATCAACAAATTGCTCCGACGTTTTTGCTAAATTGTTGACTGTTTTCCCAAATATAGAAGCAATGGAAACAGAAGCTTTATTATTAACAAAAATGAAAAAAACAATTACTTTAACCTTAAAACCCAAGTACTGTGTTGAAGCTATTTCAATATAAAAGTAGTACTTGGGTTAGTATCTCAACATTCATACTTCAGTTTTTTTTTTTTTTTAATAAGATCTTGCTCTTGAAGAGCTCTCTTTGTATATCCATTTGTTGTTTGAAGCATTTGGAGCTTGAATTTGTCAAATATTTCTGAGTTTTTATTATAACCAATTCTTTGTTGGAGTTGTTGATATCTAAGACTAAAGATTCCACCATCTCTACATCAAAATATATCAAAGAGAGTTCTTCATTACAATTTAAGCTAATACACAATCATATACCTATCTCCATTAAAGCCATTGTGAAGATCAAGAATTTTCCTGAGGTGATATTTTCTTTTATTTGCTTTGATACAACATACATGATGTTGCCATGATTGAATCTTGAGTTGCTAAACATATTTTTAATGATCTTTTTTTATTGCGAAGCGGATTCTTTTTTTTTTTTTTTGGGTGTTATGATGATGATTTTTGTAATGTTGGTGTTGTGGTTGAACTAGATTGTGTTGGAGTTTCAGAGATGCAGCAAGAAATGAGGCCTGTTGAGGAGCTGCTGACGGAGACGAAGGAGCGATTGGATGCGACAGAAGAAGAACGAGATCGAGTTGTTGATGAGCTTCTGGAGATGAAAAGGTTGGCTCAAGATGCCAATATGATGCTTAGTGAAAAACAACTGTCTTCTAGGAAGGTTGCAGATTTATATACAGAGATCAATTTGTTAAATGAATCATTGAGTGAAGAATTGACAATCAAAGACAAGCATATTGAGTCATTAAAAGTTGAACTTGGAAAGGAAAAGAGAGAATTGGAGGCAAAATTGGTTCAGAAAGATGCCTCACTGGTTGAATTAAGATCATCATTGAGTACTTTGAAATCGTCTGAGGCTCATGCTATGACTTTGTTGTCTGAAAGCAAGAAAAGGTTTCAGGAATTGCAGGCGGAGATCGAAAAAGGGAAGGAATCAGAAAAAAAGATGCTTGATTCCTTTGTTGCACAAACCAAACAGCTTGAGCAAACAAAGATTGCGCTTGAAGAATCAAAGCTTCAAATGGACTCTCTTCACAAGACGGTCAAGGAACCAGAAGTTTCATCTAGGAAAGGAGGTCTTAATGCATCTAAAGATTGCCTTGAGGATTCAAAAGGAACATTAGATATTCTCAAGTCTGAACTTCAATCAGCAAAAGAGAATGAAAGGGTTTCTTCGTTGAAGGTCAATAGTCTTCTTGAGGACCTGAGGATGGTGAAGACTGAACTGAAGTTGGCTACTGAGGCAGAAGAGACCAACAAGAAGGCTATGGATGGTTTAGCATTAGCCCTGAAAGAAGTCACCTCAGAGTCCATTCAGGTGAAAGAGACGCTCGCCTCAACCCAAGCAGAGCTTGAAGACACAAAAGCGGAGGCAGAACAATTGAAGTTGAAGCTGAAAAGCATCGAGGACGAGTACAAAGTTCAATTCGATGGGCTGAAGAAAGTAGCTGAGCTTTACAAAAACACAGTAGATAGATTGAGATCAGAAGCTGAAGAGTCCCTTTTGGCATGGAGTGGGAAAGAAACTTGCTTTGTGGGTGTTATCAGGAGAGCAGAAGATGAAAGGGATCTTGCACAACAAGAGAATCTTAAGCTGCTTGAGTCCCTTAGAATATCCGAGAACATGACCAAGACAGCAAAGCAAGAGAATGCCCGGTTGCGCGATGTACTTAAACAGGCCTTGAATGAAGCTAATGTTGCAAAAGAAGCAGCTGGGATTGCAAGAGCAGAAAACTCTCAGCTTCAGGATGCCTTGCAAGAGAAGGAAGAAGCATTAGATTTTATAAACAGAGAGAATGAGAACCTGAAAATGAATGAAGCTGCAGCTCTTGAAAGCATCAAGGAGTTGAAGCGGTTGCTCTATGAAGCATCAGCAAAAGATGATAAAGAACAAGGAAACAAATTAAAGATGCAAAATTCAATGGATAAGGAGTACCATAGCAAAAAACTGCTAGATGCTTTTGGTTTCAATCTCAAGGAGCTGAAAATCGCGAATAAACATGAGGGAGAAGAGAAGGATGAAGATGAAGATGAAGATGAAGATGAAAAAACTCTAAATAAAAACAGTGATGATAATGACTCTGCTAACGTTGACGACCATCTTTCAGGATCAATATTTGACATATATACACCAGGATCAGCTACGCATCACCGCAAAAATTCTTCAGCTTTTACGGATGAAGGAAGTGGTACATTTTCAGATACTCAACTTGAGCATATAGATGGGACACGTGGTGATGATTTAGAGGTCGAGGTCGATAAAAGCACAAGAAAAAAGAAAGCTTTGATTCGGAAATTTGGGGACTTGTTAATGAGACGAAGTTATCACAAAAAAGAACCATCATAATCAGAAATAAAAAAAGAACCCCAACCCCAGTAAATTTGTTTGGTATGTGTAGTTTTGAATTAATTTTAATTTAGATTTTATTGTTTATGTGGAATGAAACTTGCAGCTGGAATTGCAATGTGAGCTTGCTTCCCTCCACTTAAGTTATGAACAGATACTTGATATGAATATTGAAAGTCATATACTTTTATGAATTAGTAGCAATCAATTTAACTTGAGAGAATTTGGCATTTGACCCCTAAATTTAAGTAATTATTTAATGTTTGTTCATAATTGTTGATGCTTGGTTTTGACACCAACTATTCGCATGTGAGAAATGCTGAGCGGGCTCAGAAGTCACACGTGATTATGGAAGTGTTTTATTGAATAAAAAGAGAAGAACAACGTTTAAAGTGGTTCGGATGCTCACAAGGCGAATCCTATGTCCACTGATATTGTATTAATGAGTGAAGTCAGGTCGCGTTTAATGAGTTGAGTTACAATTTGGAGAATACAAAGAGAGAGAGAGAGAGAGAGAGAGAGAGAGAGAGAGAGAGAGCTTTTCAGAGTGAAATTCGCCAATCCCATAAATGGGAGAGAAGTCCCCTATTTATAGTGGGATGAACCAAGGTAATGATCACTAAATATGCGAGTGAGGTAGATGTCATGCAAATCCATCTCTACGTCCCATTGCTCACATGCCCGCGTGATTTCCTCGACTTGCGCAAGGATTGGACATGTGGATCGCTTCCAACCATTCACCAACCTGGCATACACCTACTACACTGGCAGGAGCATGCCACTCACATCATCATGTGATGTGGCTGCATCTGAGCAGTTGTAGAACTTCCTTAAGCTCTGACCACCCATGCTGACAAGGCTTCCGCGTCAGCCCTGCTTCCAAGCATAATAAAAGTCCCCTAGTTTTTAAGGTTTGAGAATCGAACCTTGAGAACTACACAACTATGCTTTGATCTGATATGTGTCGAATGATGCCCGATCGATCCAACCTGGCTACAAGGAGGTCGCAAAACATTCCTATATTTGCGACTTGAAATGGTCTTCTTCCGCAAGGCCTACGACCTAGACCAGGCCTTATTCAGTGCCATACTGATGGAGCTTTTCTCTTGGCCGAGGCTCGCGACCTGATTATACTTACATCGCTTTGTAGCAGACATGCGACGAAGAGTGTTTTATATAATGACCTTTTCAGATGTTATCCGTTGCGCTTGGCAGCTAATACATTAATGAAATGCCTTTTGCTCTAACAGAGGTGTCCTATGCGCAATAAGTACCAGCCATGTGCATTAAATGTAAGCCATGCTAAAACGACATTCCTTTTTAGAACATTATATGCGGATGAGAGCGTGATAGAGTGGAATTTATATATTTCTTATTCCTTCCATATTATGTTTTTTTGTTATGTTTTATGCCTAGTTGAGTTGATTAGAGTTTATTTTATAAGTTTGGCATATTTGGATAGACTTTAGGAAATAATTGAGAAAAGATTAGGAAATTCCAGATTTTTGTTATTCTGACCAGTGCTGCGTTTTTCAGGTTTTTCATGGAGTCGGATTTCTTGATTGCAAAAGTGTTCTTCATAAAAAGTAAAGTTGATGAATCAAGCTTTCCAGGAAGGTATTATGGGCGAGAATCTGAGTTTGTTTGGGTCTTCATTAGTTGTTGCAAAACCGGACCTGGAATCCTAGTCGCGGAGGATTTCCTGGCTGAGTATTGAATCTTTGAACGGGCCTAACTGGAGCGTCAGATATCAAAAGCGGGTGATTCAAAAGCCCAGATTAATTCACACATCTGGGACTACAATTTTAATGAAGTAACCAAGCCTAGAAAAGATCTTTTACATTGCAAGAATCCTGGTGCAAGCTGGAGACGAATTCTGTTTTCCATATCTGATAAGATTTTGACAAATCTAGAAGTCTATCTTTTAGGAAACGTCTAGGAAAGATTTTCCGTGATTCCTGGGGTCTAATTAAGAAAAAAAAATGTTATTATTGAGGAGTGTTAGGTTAACCAAGGGGGAGACGGCAGTGGAGTTTTGGTTTTTCAGTTTTTTTACTTTCTAGGTCAAGATGTGCGGCTGATCTTTCTTCGTCAGTTCAAGGGGATTTTGAAGCCTAAATTATGTCATTGGTGTAACTTAACTTCAGTAACATTGTTCTTAATCTCATTTTTATTGGAATTGTTTATGTTATTCTGTTTTAATTGTTTATGATTCTTGTTTGATTGATTTAGTTTTGGCCTGCTAAATTGTTTAATTGGAATTTTACATGTTAGAATTAGGAATTGTGATACGTAATTGTCATTTTTCTATTCAATGAGTAACATATGATGATAGATGATTATAGACAAGTTTTCAATCTGTCATCTTGAATAACATAACCTAAGTTAAATAATCCAAACTTGCGTGATTGTTGCTTAGATTGATCTATTTTCCTAATTCTTAAGGCTGCCATTGAATTAAACTTAGAGAGCTTATTCTAGGTTGTTCAAGGGTTGGGATCTACTTGGAGAGCTTATTTCAGTAGTGACAATTAAGGGAAAATTCGGGTAACAAAGCTTGTTGTTTCCTAGGGTCAGTAGTTCCATAATAACGAGATAGAACAGTGTTACGGTTAGTTCATGTCCAATACATGTTTAGGTGGATCTTGAACCAAGAATTGGTTGTTTTTAACCTGATATTTTCTACCATTAGAGATTTCTTTGTTTTACTTTAGTTTGCCTTGACTACAACCCCCTTTCATCACTGTTGTCATGTTTACTGTTTAGGGTTTTATTTTATTTTTCTTTTGTTTTCATTATTTTAGAATATAGAAATTAATCGAATCATTCCCTGTGGGATCGACCCTTGCTTACCCTATATACAATTTAGTAGTTAGGTTAGGAAGGTTATTAATTTGGAGCATTCGGCAAGCTACCATAGCGCATTTAATGTGGAGGAAGGAAACGAGCCATCGCTCGATTTTTTCAATGGAGAGAAACGACGATTTGATTTCCTGAAGTGTGGCGATTACTCTTCCCCGTTGATTGATGACACGTGGTCGTGATCAACGACGAGAGATGATTTCCGTTCAAACGTCGCTTGGCTTCGGGAAAACTAAGCACCACTTCCTTTACTATAAAATCTCAGGCTCACCTCAAGCAATGTCACAATGCTCACTTGTTCAGGAAGAGCAAGAAGCTTTCATGAGACCAGATTCTCTGCCTCCCAGATTGGTGTGCACTTGACGTTCACAGCGGGAAGTTCATCTTCATACTCAAGAGGTAAAGATGATTCTTCCATTACTTTCCCTTTTCTTTTTGGTTTTCATAATAACCATGTGATAATGGTGGGTGTTTGCTGATGGTTAATCGGAGAAAAGGCTTTCCTCTAGGGTTTGAGTCTTTGGGGGTGGTCCCCAAGGATTCTTAGGGTTTAAGGAAGATAGTGTGTACCTTTTCTTCCACGTCATCGTACGAAATTTTGTACGACGACTAAGTAATTCCTACATGTCGCTCTTTTTCAGATAATAGAAGAAATGGACTCTTCAGCGGCCAGGACAAATGAGGGAACGAACTTGCCGGTGCAGGACGCCCCAGTGGGTCCCTCACAGGAAATCCTGTCAATAGCCACAGTAGAGGAGATTCAAAAGGTGGTAGACCAATACGCACTTAGCGTAGATGTCTATTAGCATAGGACATATACAGCTCGGAATTTGCCAGAAGAAATGGTTGCGATCTTCGAGAACATTTTTAAGTGCGGAGCGTTGATTTCCTTCCACCCTTTCATAAGGTCGGTCCTCGATCACTTCGGGGTCGTATCGTTACAGCTGACGCCAAATGCGTATATGATAGCAGTGGCTATGTATATCGCATGTGGCGAGAACGGTCTAGGCGAGCTAACCGCGCTAGAGCTCGGATGCTCGTACTATCTGAAGAAGAGTAAAGACAATGACTCTTTTTACCTCTCAAAGCGATCTACAATCGAGGGAGGAATACATAGTTACCCCAGCAATGTCGAGGCATATGATACAAAGTTTTTCTTTTTTCACTATGATGGCATTTGCCAATTTAGGTAGTCGAGCAGGTCTTCTTTTCTTTTTCTTGGCAAATTTTCCTTCTTTTAATTCTTTGCTAACGAGCTTTCTTTGTTTCTTCGCAGTAAACAAAACGACTAGGTTGGCGGCTCTCGTCGATTTCAATAGAATAACCGCCTTCGATTTTTTGTCCAAACAAAGTCGTGACACGAGGCTGCTCGTGACAACCGCGAACCTGCAGAAATACGGGTTTTTCAACCCTGAAGCGACCTTGGAAACCTTACCAAGTAAGTATCCGTGACTTTAGCCAACTTTGTTATTTGCATAGGGGAACTGTTTTGCTAACGATGTTCGCATGCAGCGGCTATGCCACCCAAGGTACCCAAGTCGTTGAGAGCGAGGGAGTTCACCTTCCCTCGGGTTAGTGCCACAAGACCAGCCAAGGCGGCCCCCAACGGTCCCCCCATTGTAGGAACGCCGGTGGTGGTGACGGTTCGACCAGCAGGTGCTCCCCAATCTGCAGCTGCTCGTCCCAAGTAGAAGACTATAGCCTAGAAGTCCAAAAAGAGGAAGCAGCTTCGGCTCGAGGAGTCAGAGTCAGAATCAGAGTTCGAGCCAGAGGGCTTGGGCATTCAGCCGAGGAGGTCGCAACCTTACCAATCCTTCAACTCGGTGGGGCCCCCTAAAGGTACGACCAACATCACCATTGCCCTTGAGGGTCCGCCAACGGGGTAAGGGGAGGTTACGAATCCCGAGAGGAGAGCGGACAAGGTGCCACTTAGCGCGGGAATGGGCACTCCAGTGCTGAACTCCATGGGGCAATTCCCTGGAGCATTTTGCAGCCGATGATGTTTACCCTGTTGGAGTGCCAGCTCGTAGAGGCATTCGAGCAGTTCGTGGCCTCTAACCTTGTGCACCTGATGACCATGGCTTTCCAACATCAAAGCCAAGTAAAGTAGTTTGTCCTTATCGAGGACTTTCTTACATTTCCTCACTTTTTAATGGCAAAGA